GACCAGTAGCTCCTTGTGTCTGTCTGTAGTTACCTGATAAGTCGATGCCCAGCCTGGTTCGGTTTTATTACTCCTGGAAGAAGAGTCGCAGTAAAACCAGCCTGATGGACCGCCAGACTCGGAAACACAAACGAGAGCGAGACGACAGGTGAGCAGATACCTGCGCAGGTGTGGGTGCTACCCGATTGGCCGATGAGTGTAAATATAAATGTCTGTTTCAGTGACGATGAAGTCGAGGACGGTAATGGAAATCCTCCGAGTGACCCTGAGTTGGACGTAAATAAAGAAGACAAGAAGGAGGTACGAAGTTCAGTGTTTACTTGTTTGTTTACCTGTTTGTTGCTGTTGTTTACCTGTGTGACTCTTTTCAGGTGAGCTCAGGTTCAGAGAGGTCAGAGGTGAAACCAGTTTCTGGTCTGAAGGTAAGAACACCTTAGCAACCCTCAGACCGTAGCCTATATGTTCGTACCTGTCTGTTAGACAGGTGACGGCGGCTGCCTCTCTCTGTTCACCTGCAGACAGGTGGGAAGGCGTCCCAGCGGATGAAGAAGCGCCCCCCCAGAGGAATGTTTCTGAACCATCAGGACGTTGTTTCTCTGTCGTCCTCAACGCCTCAGGGACTCATCAGACAGCTCGACTCGCAGCTCGTCTCCATCAAGAGACAGGTGAGTCCGTTGTCACGGAAACGCTAGAACGGGGAGGTGCAACCATCACCAGAAATCTACAGTGGGACTGAAAATAGTCAGAGGGCTGGTCAGGTAACGGCGTTTATCACCGATACAAACAAACCTAACCTAAACAAAAGGTCACCTGTACGAGCTGCAACAGGTAAACAGTTTCACGCCTGATCATCGGCACAGCGTGGACACCTGCACTCACCTTGATCACGTTCCTGTGTCTGAGCCTCAACCTCTGTTTCAGATTCAGACCATCAAACAGACCAACAGCGTGCTGAAGGAGAAGCTCAGCTCGGGGCTGGACGAGTTCAGGCTGCCCGAGGTAACCGCGGCAACGCGATAACACAGCAACATGGCAGCGCAATACAGCAACGCAGTACAGTAACACATAACTGCAATACAGCAACGCAGTACAGTAGCACATAACTGCAATATAGAAATACACAAATGCAGTTCAAAAACACACAAATGCAGTACAGCAACGCAGTACAGTAGCACACAAACACAATATAGAAAAACACAAATGCAGTTCAAAAACACACAAACGCAGTACAGCAACGCAGTACAGTAGCACACAAACACAATATAGAAAAACACAAATGCAGTTCAAAAACACACAAACACAGTACAGCACAGTGAGTGTATCCTCACTGATTTTTCTCTGTGATTTCGATGATCGATTCAAATCACTTTATTCAAACTAAAATGGATTTTTAAGCACTGACAGCAACAGTAATGCAGCTTTCTGGGTGAGCTGGGTCAGAGATGTCAGGCTACACCGTGGTGCTTATTAACTTTCTGTGATACTCTGGGCTCTCTGCTTCGTGCACGCTCGCTGAGCACGCTCTTTCAGTGGTGGTTCTGGATGCTAACGTTTCTTTATGTTTCAGGTGAACCAGAAGTTCAATAACCGTTGGACCACAGAGGAGCAGCTGCTCGCCGTCCAAGGTAACACCTGAAACAGGTCACCTGACAGATGTTCTCATCTTTTTAAAGCATCTGTTTATCAGCGTCAGGGTTGATTGATCAGACATGTAAAATCGTAACTGGATAACCTATCGAGGTGCGGACATGTGAACTCGAGCCTTCTATGAAGGCTGCTGTCAGACTTCTCAGTCAGTGATTGGTCGATGACTGTCTCCCTCCCGTCCAATCCTACACAGCCATCAGGAAGTATGGGCGAGACTTCCAAGCCATCTCAGATGTGATTGGTAACAAGTCGGTGGTGCAGGTGAAGAACTTCCTAGTAAACTACAGACGCAGGTTTAACCTGGACGAGGTGCTGCAGGAGTGGGAGGCGGAGCACGGCATGGAGGTGGGGGCAGGAGCGAGCGAGGACGACAGGATGGAGGAAAAGATGGAGGTGTGTCCCACTGAGGAGGATGAGGTCATCGCCAAGCAGACCAAGGAGGTGAGGACACAAATCCCAGCATGCTTGGCAGCACACATACCTGTCTGGGTCATGTGACCTCCGTTTTGTACGGTTCCCGTGTCAGCTCATGCTACTCATGTGACTGATTTTGGTCTCAGTGGATGGGATGATTTTAGAGGCATTGAGGAAGTTGTACTTTATTTCACAGTACTAATGAGACTGCATGACTCAAATTACATACACCTGGCCACATCTGCACTCACCTGCTCAGGTGGGACAGTCTCACTGTGTTTTTCTTCTCCTACAGGATTCGTCCTCTCCACTGAATGCCAACAAGCCTTTGGCCTCCTGAGACCTTCTGGCCCCTCCTCTTTAGATTCAGGGCTCTGCCCCTCCAGTTTCAGGCCCCGCCCCACAGGCTTTATAATGTAATTTTTTTATTGTATAATGTGTTTCTCTTTAATTTTCTCCGTTTTTAGATCAGGTGTGGGGTTTGTTTTATTAACCTGTCATTTACTGCTCGCTCTGGACCAATCAGACCCGTCAGTCCAAATGGGCGGAGCTTTTGTTCCTTATTTTCTGCTTTTCATGCTTTTTTGGGTTGTTTTTTGCTTTTATTACTTCCTGTTTGGTGTGTTGGGGATAGGGTGTCAGACTGAAGCAGCCATGTTGGATGACCTTGTTCAGGAAGGAGGTGTGTCCTAACCTGATGGGATCTTTTTTGTTTTTTTTTTCTATTATTTTAGGACTTTTTAGAAGAAAGACAATAAAACCAAAGTTGATCAGTAAAGTAATTTGTATGTTTTCTTCTTTGAGACCAAACTGAGTCCTCAGGTGATTTAAGAGAAGTGGCGCCCCCTGCTGTCTGCTTGTGTGCTACAGAGACAGACTGACCAGCTGTGTCTACTGATGGAAAATGAGCCAAATAGAAACGAGTCACCATAATAAGTCACAGCAGTCTCCTCAGACAGTGGAAACACTGAGGTTTCTTTTCATTATTATTGTAACAGCAGATCATCTCAGGATGCAGAGTTAATTTTCATTAATCTGCAGCATTATAAATGATAAAATAATCTCAGGATTTAAATCGGCATGTGTGCCTGAGCCGGTCTGATCTGCAGCGCAGTGGGGCATTTTCCTTTTCTTGGTTCAGGCTGCTGCTCTTAAAGCTCACATGGAAATTAAAATAAACACTGCAGCTTTTGTACTGCGTTGCTGTATTGCGGTTATGTGTTACTGTACTCACACTTTGCAAAACTCTGTGATGGGCCAGTTCTGGTCCCTGGGCCTTGTGTTCAATGTTCCCTCTAAGCGGCGCGCGTGCGCAATTGCGCACTGCTGGCACGGTGTCTGCGCACAGAAAATCTGTGCTGCGCACAAAAAAATAAATCTAACCTGAATTGAAATTAAAATTAATATGTTATCAACTCTGTTCTTCAGTGTGAGTCAGTGACTGGCTGCTCCCGTATGGAATCAGAACGACGCCACCTTATCCCAAAGTCCAGCCAATAATGCGATTCACATTCGTATACGCAGCTAATCAATGTGGTTGACAGGCTATGA